ATGTCATAATATGCAAAAAAAAATATGTAAATGTGTAAACGAGAAATAGACATCACACACTGGAGAAAATGGTGAGACAATGTACATGCATCCCTTAAACAGGGAAAAAAGTTACATAAATCACAAATAAACAGTGAAAATGGCATAAAATATGCCTAAAACAGTGCCGTGACCAGAAGACTCACAACTGGTGTGACTAATATACAGTGAGACTGTCAGGATAAAAACCTGACTCAAAACAAAAAATTTGTGGACCACACAAAGTCCTTCCACATAATGTGTTAACCCTTTGAGGACCAAGGGACTTATTTGTCCCATGTTTTTAATTGCGTGTATCATCTGATTAGGAACTTAAAACCCTTTTCTTTTTTTTTGGTTTGAGTCAAAATATTAGTTCTTATCAACAAACAACAAATGGATCTAGCTTTCTGCCAATTATTTCATGAAATGGCTTAGTTACAGCAACTGAAGTGTACGAACTTTAAAAACAAAAAAATTGATTCTTTTGGCGTTTCAAAATCTTACGGTCCTCAAAGGGTTTAAAAAATGTGATATGTGACCAAAATAAACAATACATGAGTCATGTGATCAAATCCCTAATTGGGACTTATTTATGTGAACACCAATATATAAACAGTGTCACAACAATATATCACAATTAGAGATGAGCGAATCGAACCTGGCGAAGTGGAATTCGTTTCGAATATCAGGAAAAATTCGATTCACATCGAATCCGAATTTTAGCAAACTTCGGGTGCACGAATCGAATTTTTCCCGATCAGCCGGCAAAAAAGTGTCACTGCAGAGAGCTCCGCTATTTCTGACAGTTCATTTACATGCGGTTGAAACATTGTATCTATTTGTTTCCATTTAGGATACAGATGTTTTTATTCGGAAATAAATAGATACAATGTTTCAACCGCTGTAAATGTGAAGGAACTGTCAGAGAACTGTCAGAAATAGCGGAGCTCTCTGCAGATACACTTTTTGCTGGACTGGAATTCTTCTTCTTCTTTTCATTCTTCTTTTCATTCTTCTTCTTCTTCTTCTTTTCATTCTTCTTCTTCTTCTTCTTTTCATTCTTCTTCTTCTTCTTCTTTTCAGTTCTTCTTCTTTTCATTCTTCTTCCTCTTCTTTTCATTCTTCTTCTTCTTCTTTTCATTCTTCTTCTTTTCATTCTTCTTCTTTTCATTCTTCTTCTTCTTTTCATTCTTCTTCTTCTTTTCATTCTTCTTCTTCTTTTCATTCTTCTTCTTCTTTTCATTCTTCTTCTTTTAATTCTTCTTTTCATTCTTCTTCTTTTCATTCTTCTTTTCATTCTTCTTCTTTTCATTCTTCTTCTTCTTTTCATTCTTCTTCTTCTTTTCATTCTTCTTCTTCTTTTCATTCTTTTCATTCTTCTTTTCATTCTTCTTTTCATTCTTCTTCTTCTTCTTTTCATTCTTCTTTTCATTCTGCTTCTCATTCTTCTTTTCATTCTGCTTTTCATTCTTCTGGAGAGGTCTTCATTCTTCTTCTTCTTCTTTTCATTCTTCTTCTTCTTTTCATTCTTCTTCTTCTTTTCATTCTTCTTTTCATTCTTCTTCTTTTCATTCTTCTTCTTCTTTTCATTCTTCTTCTTTTCATTCTTCTTCTTCTTCTTTTCATTCTTATTCTTCTTTTCATTCTTCTTTTCATTCTTCTTCTTCTTTTCATTCTTCTCATTCTTCTTTTCATTCTTCTTTTCATTCTTCTTCTTCTTTTCATTCTTCTCATTCTTCTTTTCATTCTTCTTCTCATTCTTCTTCTACTTTTCATTCTTCTTCTTTTCATTCTTCTTCTTTTCATTCTTCTTCTTCTTCTTTTCATTCTTCTTCTGCTTCTTTTCATTCTTCTTCTTCTTCTTCGTCGTGCCCCGTGACTGCCCAAATGAGTGAAGTGTGCGGTGATTCTAAGATCGACGGCACTCATCTGCATGTCATACTGACTGACAGTATTATTTCTCTTCCCCAGCAGACTCCAAGGGCATTTAAATTAAAGGTACAGTGTTCTGCACTAATATAAAGGCTCTCTGAAGCCTAGAAAACCCTTTTTAATAAGTTAAATTCGCGGCGAATACATTTGCATCGAATCGAATTTCTCCCGCAAATTCGGCGAATCAGCCGAATCGAATTTTTGAATAATTCGCTCATCTCTAATCACAATGTGCTGCACTTTCTGCCCAGCTCCTCAGATTTTTTGATTGAGGGATGTTGGGCATAAGGCCCCATGTAGACGGGACACTTCTGAACAATGGAAACTGACTGCTGGAAGACGTTAGGTTAAAAAAGTCTGTTTAGCCGCGTTTGCATAATGTGTTTATGTGCGTTTGCGTTTAGAAGTGTTTTTTAAAGATAAGCACAGGAGAACTTCCCAAATGCCCAGAATGCACTAAAAAGTGGTACATTATTAACTATTTCAGACCGTTTCACAGAAATACAGAGAGTAGAAGCAGACACAGAAGTATGTGCTGAGATTAGCTTGGGTGTAAGTTGCTCATTAACATTTATTTTGTTTCCAAGGGTGGGAAAGGTGTCTGGTGAAGGGAGTCATTAAGGCCTCCTCGCAGGGGGAGGAAATTGAGGTGTGAATAGTCATTAACATATCTTTTGTTTCCAATGGTGGGAGAGGTCTGAGGTGTGAATGGTCATTAACATATCTTTTGTTTCCAATGGTGGGAGAGGTCTGAGGTGTGAATGGTCATTAACATATCTTTTGTTTCCAAGGGTGGGAGAGGTCTGAGGTGTGAATGGTCATTAACATATCTTTTGTTTCCAATGGTGGGAGAGGTCTGAGGTGTGAATGGTCATTAACATATCTTTTGTTTCCAAGGGTGGGAGAGGTCTGAGGTGTGAATTGGTCATTACAACATGTGACAAGCTTGGTAGGAACATCCTGTGTTCAGTTTTTTGTCCATCTGAGTACCTTGAAAACATTTTTCATGATGAAAAAAAAGGCTCTGGACAGCATTGGGAACTGGAAGAGTTAAAAAATTTCAAACACAAACATCGCATAAATGCGATTTGCCGTGTTTAGAAGCGCTTTGCGTTTGAAACGCTGATAAAATCAACTGCTGAATGCAAGTTTTCTGCATTCAAAAAAAACGAAAAAACGACTGTCAACCTCATTTGCCTGTAAACGTGAGTTTATCAGCTGCAGCACACACACATATATATATATATATACACACACATATACACACATATATATATATATCAATCAATACATATATACAAATGTATTTGCCTTTCACTTCTATGTTTTGCCTTTCACTTCTATTTTAAATGGAATGAGTTGTTTTACAAGGTGAGGGTTCTTTCAGTCTTCATGCACATGGGACGTTTTACAGTTCCTAGGAGCGTCATACATATTTTAAATTTTTTTTACTGCCTCGAAACTCCTCTGCATGTTATTCTATGTGTCCACGCACACAGAAAATTTTTGTAGCGCTTTGTGGCAGAACCCCTTCCCCCCCCCACTGCCAGGGTACCTTGGAGTAGCAGCGCTTTGGCTGAAAAAACGCAGACGCATTTAAATCTAACACTAGGTGCGTTTAATACTAGAGAGTTCATTTATTTCCATGGCTAGAATAAATGATATATTCTGGCAAATAAAATTAACGCCCAAATGTAAACGCGGTACACACTTTTACAAGCGTCAAGCGTTTTTTTTTTGGGCCGGAATGCTACTGATTTCTAAGGGAGTTTAAATGATTGTCAGTGTACATGAGGCCTAAGGGTGCAGACAGCTGCAGAATGAATTCCGGAATAAATTCCAGAGTGACGAGGCAGCCAGCCTGATTTTAAATACAAAATGTTAATAGCTGACTGGGAAGTCATTTTACGGAATAAAGCCGGGGAGCTGCAGCTCAGTCCCTCCTATGTAGCACAGTCCACACCTAAGCAGATGACAGATGGTGTAATCAGGACTTAGGACAAGACCTATAAACCCAATGACCTTTTCAAGCAAAAACGTGAAGAATCCACCTATAGCTGGAGCCGTGTAATTCATTAACTCAACGTAAAGTACTGCAATTTACACAGAAATCAGCTTCGCAGGTCACACAGGTATTTCCCACATCAGTCTGAGTTTTTCTTGCAACAGAAAAGCCAGGATCAGATCATAAAAGGCTTTCTTAGGCTCCATGTACACTGCAGCTGATAAACTCACGTTTAGAAGCTTTTCCTGCGTTTTTTTTTTTCAGCAGCCCCTGAACTCTCCCTAATGTTTTCACATTTGTTACACATCTTCGTTTACAGGCAGTTGAGTTTACATCGTTTTTTTAACACAGAAAACTTGCGTTCAGGAGTAGATTTTATCAGCGTTTCAAACGCTTGTAAGCGCGGCTAACCGCGTTTAGAAGTGTTTGCATTTGAATTTTTTTTAACTCTTCCATTTCCAGATGCTGTCCAGAGCCCCTTTTCATCATGAACAATGCATGCAAAGCGTTTTCCCGGTACTCAAATGGACCCGGTACACCATACTTTGAGGTTTGGCCCCCTACCCGGAACTGCAAAATCACGTGTGTGTGTGTGTATATATACGTGATTTTGTGCACCCATGCCGCCCTGTAGCGGTATTTCTGCTACAGGGCGGACGGGAAGTGGGTAATTAGTGCTCAACTGGACACTGATAGAAGTCACAAGACTGCTGTATACTGCTGATGAGAAAAGGTATTTAGCAGTTTATATTTACTAAAATAATTGCACTTCCATGTTGTTTGTACTGTGGGAGACCAGATATAGTGAATGCAGGGTCCGGGGAGAGCAGATATAGTGAATGCAGGGTGTGGGGTGCGGGGTCCTGGGAGAAAGGTATAGTGAATGCTGGGTCCGGGGGAGAGCAGATATAGTGAATGTGGGGTCCTGGGAGAAATATAGTGAATGCAGGGTTCCGGGAGACCAGATATAGTGAATGCAGGGTCCCGGGAGACCAGATATAGTGAATGCAGGGTCCGGGGAGACCAGATATAGTGAATGCAGGGTCCGGGGAGACCAGATATAGTGAATGCAGGGTCCGGGGAGACCAGATATAGTGAATGCAGGGTCCGGGGAGACCAGATATAGTGAATGCAGGGTCCGGGGAGACCGGATATAGTGAATGCAGGGTCCGGGGAGAGCGGATATAGTGAATGCAGGGTCCGGAGAGACCAGATCTAGTGAATGCAGGGTCCAGGGAGACCAGATCTAGTGAATGCAGGGTCTGGGGAGACCAGATATAGTGAATGCAGGGTCCAGGGAGACCAGATCTAGTGAATGCAGGGTCTGGGGAGAGCGGATATAGTGAATGCAGGGTCCGGGGAGACCAGATATAGTGAATGCAGGGCGGGGGAGACCAGGGTGCAGGGTCCGGGGAGACCAGATATAGTGAATGCAGGGTCCGGGGAGACCAGATATAGTGAATGCAGGGTCCTTGGAGAGCGGATATAGTGAATGCAGGGTCTGGGGAGAGCGGATATAGTGAATGCAGGGTCCGGGGAGACCAGATATAGTGAATGCAGGGTCCGGGGAGACCAGATCTAGTGAATGCAGGGTCCAGGGAGACCAGATATAGTGAATGCAGGGTCTGGGGAGAGCGGATATAGTGAATGCAGGGTCCGGGGGGAGACCAGATATAGTGAATGCAGGGGTCCGGGGAGACCGGATATAGTGAATGCAGGGTCCGGGGAGACCAGATATAGTGAATGCAGGGTCCGGGGAGACCAGATATAGTGAATGCAGGGTCCGGGGAGACCGGATATAGTGAATGCAGGGTCCTGGGTTTAGTAACACTTTAACTGATGTACCCCCCTACATTCCTCCATTTTATAAGAAAGACTGAAAATCGTACTGTCCTCTAACACTTGTCATTAATCGGGAGAATTCATCTTTTATTTATGTAGGTGGAATTTTACAATATGCGGACATTGTACATAGGAGATGAAACTGCTATGGCTCGAGGAACCCCTAGCAACCTATGGAGGACCGCTAATTCAGAAAGCCTGGTGCCGTTTCCAACACGATGGAAAAATCTTTTATCTCCATTCTCCAAAAGAAAATGGGAAATTGCATTAAAAGAAAAAGTATGGCCAAAGCTTTTCCTGGCCATACTTCTCGTGGGTCACAGGAGTGCACTATCTAATGTAAGTACTTGCCAACACCCACTAAGATACTTAATAAAACTTGCTGGCGGCTGACATCACAGAGCCACTCTAGGCTCTGGAAGGATCCTGACCATATTGTCGGGATCCACTCAGATGCCTTATTGGCAGCTGGCTCAGCCTCTCAGCGTGCTGCAGAAAGCCTGAACCCGCCAATCCTGCCTCCTCCATAGCGCAAGGCTCCAGTGAGCGCTGCAGGATTAGAGCAGAGAGCTGGGTATTGATAGTCAAAGCATTCTGCTCAGAGCGGACCAAGAACTGAGTGATCAGCGGTCAAGTGATCGTTCAGTTCTTGGGCTTAGAGCCAATGAGTGACAGCTACGGCATCAGACAGATACCGCAGCATGGAGGAGAGGGGGGTGTGTGTTTTAACAACCCCCAAAATTTTTCCTTTAGGGCCCATTCACACTATCTTTGGACCATATGAACCGATGCGGGCAAAACCACTGCATTTCAGGTGTCATTAACTTTGCACTGACACCCAGCAGATCGTAAGGGCAATGTTACTGGAAACCAACAGGAAGCATGAGTCTTCCACATCGCGTTCTAATGTGAATTGGCCCTTAAGATACAACTGAATCCTCTGAAGTGCCAGTTTGTTTTCTACATTAATTTCTGGTTCAGTCTGAATGGGGACTATCTATAATTATTATTATACAGGATTTATATCGCGCCAACAGTTTGCTCAGCGCTTTACAATATAACGGGAGACAATACAGGGTCCTGATCTTTGGAGCTTACAATCTAATTGTTCTATTAATATAGATATTGAAGATGTTACTTATGTTTTTTTTGTACGGATACGAGATTTCTGGTTTTGTACCTTGTCTTCTTTCTCTGTTTATACCCAAAAAACTTTCAACAGTTTGAAATATAAAGTATAACTGAAGGCAAAACTTCTTATTTTTTTTTTATTTTTTTTTAGTTTAAAAAATGAGTAGTCTTCTCAGAATTTTATTGCCATTTGTGGCAACCTCTCTTTTTTCCTGGAAACTTTTATCACTTCTGTCGACTACCAGGGATTCCCTCAATTTGGAGGGATGTCCACCCACTTCCTGCTGCGGTTATGGGATAGGAAGTGAAAAGGAAAATCTCCTCAAAGGGACATAAAAAAAAAAAAATTACAGGGTCATAGCCTCCCTTCAGTTCTACTTTAACAGCAGCACAGTGGCCTGGGCAGCACAGTGGCTAAATGGTTAGCACTTCCACCTGGCAGTACTAGGGTCGTTGGTTCGAATCCCAGCCATGGCACCTCCTGCCTGGAGTTTAGATGTTCTCCCTGTGCCTGCATGGGTTTCCTCCAGGTACTCCGGTTTCCTCCCACACTCCAAAGACATGCTGGTAGGTTAATTGTCTCCTGTCTAAATTGTCCCTAGTATGTGTATGTATGAATGTGAGTTAGGGACCTTAGATTGTACGCCCCTTGAGGGTTAGGGACTGATGTGAATGTACAATATATATGTAAAGTGCTGCGTAAATTGACGGCGCTATATAAGTACCTGAAATAAATAAAACAGCACATGTGTTGTTGCAGCAGGTTTGAAGACATCCAGTGGACTTTCCACCTGTCCTTTGCTGTGAGATATCTATAGGAACATATGGTGAGAGCCCTGGTTCTGCAGATATGTATAGACAAGCCTTAGGAGATAAGCCGAGACCAGAATACATACTTCTCAGGAAGATATTCACAGAAAAATGTTGTAAATCGGTTCCAGGGAATATTATCTCTCCAGCAGTTGCACATCTCATTGTCAGCTTTGGAGCAATCCATCATCTGTCCCTATCTCCAGTCTGCTAACCAGCAGCACTTCCCCAGGGACTGGAGTGGATGTTCCAAGCAAGTCACACAGAGGAGAAGAATGCTGAAAATGTTTCTTGGGACAATAGTGGGCCAACATTGTGAATAGAGGACAGACACCCCTGCTGATACCGTTATCTCAGGGGAAAAGTCATCAGCTAGCTGTCTTCCTTCCTAAACTTCAAGATCAACTGGGTGTCCATGCAAGCTAAAGCTGGCCATTGATGGGTCAAATCCTGGCCGGTTCAGCAGGGACCAACCAAGATTTGAACCATCTATGGATAGGAAGATCATACCCAATTCAGTTGTTGTACAACTTGGGCACAACCAGCCTGTTGGACCTTTTTTTTTTTTTTTATTTCAATTTTTGATTATTATACAAAATAGAAAAAACATCAATTATATAAATATTTCAATTACCCCATATTTTCCCCTATCCCTCCCCCCCCTTCCCGTCATCCCATCCACATCCTTCCTCCCATTCTGGTTCTTCTCTCATATACATGTATTAATTTCATCTCTTTCATGAATTTACTATAATAATTCTCTTGAAGTTTCCAAAACTTCCCCCTTTAATCAATTCTGTATATATTTCCGAGGTTTTAAATTTAATCCAACTACACCATATTTTCCCAAACTTTTCCATTTTATCCTCTTCTATATGATATAATTCCTCCATTCTAAAGATGTCCTCCACTCTTTCTATCCAGTCTCCAATTTTTGGTGTATAGGTCTCCTGCCAATATTTGGGAATTAAAACCTTTGCCGCAATAAATGATACAATACGTTCTTTTTATGTAATTCCAATGAGGGTTTGAAATAATAGAATAGACACTTCCATGGGTCTCTCTGGAAGGTTATCTCGCATATTTCCTGAATAAGTTGGGTTATTTCCTGCCAATAGTTTTGTATTTTCGGGCAACTCCACCATATGTGTGTCATTGTGCCTCCTTCTCCACATCCTCTCCAACACAATGGGGCAATCTCTACTTGCTGCTTATGGGTTACCCTTGGTGTTCTATACCATCTAGCCATACATTTATAGTTCATTTCCACTGTACGCATATTTATCGCCTTATGAGTTCATATGAAAACCATATTCCTTTGCTGGCTGGGGGGGTCTGTTGGACTTTTTATGCTTTATGGTTGCTAGTAATGATCGCTGTGTTTTCTGGGCTGGGACGAGCCGCCTTCCCACTGGACAGCACAGTAGCTCCACAGGAAAGATTCACAGTCAGTGTTGATGGAGGAATCGAATGATTTTTGCACCATCTATGGCTGGCTTTAATGACTACCCTACGATACGAAAATGCTAGTTCCCTGGCTGTCATGAGGAAGCTTTGGTTTCAGTGCTTTCTGAGTCTCTGCCAAGGAACAAGCATAGAGATAAAAGCAAGGAGCCGGGCCCTCCTAACCCTCTTGTATTGAACTGTATTGTCTCCCGTTATATTGTAAAGCGCTGAGCAAACTGCTGGCGCTATATAAATCCTGTATAATAATAATAATAATAATAAAAGAAACTAAATACATTTCTGTCACTCATTTAGGCTCCATGTACACTGCAGCTGTGGTGCGGTTTTAATGCTTGGCAAACACCTATCAACCGCCTCACATCCGTGCATGGGGTATTTGGGAAATGTTTTTAACGCTCCCCAAATGCCTGTCTAACACTATAGGGGCGTTTGGCAAGAGTTAGAAATAAGTCAAGTGTGAATGAGCCCCAATTCGAACTATTGTGCAGATTATAGTGAAAGTCGGCAGTGGGCTAGTCATTCAGTGTTTAACTACTGCAATCCACAGGGGAGCAGTAATCGGATGGAGTGCGACACATATTTAATTAATTATTAAGTAATCAGATTTTTTTGTCTCGTGGCCCAAATATCAAGCTGCACCTAACATAATATAATGAGAAGTAGTAAAATACTGATGTTCTCCTACTACTCACTAATACTAAGGTAATACTCACCTTCAGGCGCTCCCTGAAAACCCACCTCTTCAGGGAAGCCTACCCCACCCTCACCTAACTGCTGCTCTCCTTCATTCCTCCTACCACTCCATCCCCCACAGCCACTTCCTCCTGTACCACTACCCCCCCTCCCTCCTAGATTGTAAGCTCGAAAGAGTAGGGCCCTATAACCCCTCGTGTGCTGTTTGTAGGTGCTGTAATGTTTCATGTATTGTCCACCCCTCTATTGTACAGCACTGAGCAAACCCTTTGGCGCTATATAAACTAGATGTAATAATAATAATAATAATACTGATGTAAAGCATCAAAATCTGCACCTGTAAATGTAAGGGCTCGTTCACACTTGGCTTTATTTCTAACTCTTGCCAAACTCCCCTAAAGTGTTTGACAGGCATTAAGACAGGTGTTTGGGAAGCGTTTTTAACGCTCCTCAAACGCTCCCCAAACACCCTATGTGCGGTTTTTAGGCGGTTGATAGACGTTTGCCAATCGATAAAACCGCACCACAAACACCTATAATGAAATTAAATGGTATTAACGCTCCGCAAACGCCTCGCAGCTGTGTCGCAACCGCATTG